ATATTAAAGTCAAGTCAGCCCACATTGCTATATGTCGTTATTCAAAGGGACGATTCTTTACCATAACTAACTCAACACTAACTCTAACCCAACACTAACCTTAATCACAACCTAGGCACTAAACCCCTAATCCCTCTAACCCGAGCCATAACCTCAAAACGAAAAATAATAATCATTAAAAAAGTTTTTAAAAACCCACGTTTTCTGATTGAACTAAAAAGTAGAAAATAAATGCTATAGGCCCTACATCACAATAATGCAAGCGATCACTCTACTATAAGCGAGCAAAAACGTGGGGCGCCGAAGTAAAAGTTATATTACTATTGATTAGATAATACTATTGACTTTTATTAGGGAGCTTGTAGAGAGTCAACAGTATTAGAAACTGTAAGAAAATCACGGCGCCCCACGTTTTTGCTCGCTTATAGTAGAGTGATCGCTTGCATTATTGTGATGTAGGGCCTATAGCATTTATTTTCTACTTTTTAGTTCAATCAGAAAACGTGGGTTTTTAAAAACTTTTTTAATGATTATTATTTTCTACTTTTTAGTCTTTGTCTGTTTGTTTGCATTAAAATCTTGCTATCGATTTTATCTTTTCACTTTTTTTTGGGTAAACGAAGACAACTCGTAAAAAGACAACTCGTAAAAAGACAACTCGTAAAAAGACAACTCGTAAAAAACACGTTGTTTGAATACGTTACTGACTAGAACACATAGATTTGAACCCGTGTCGAGTGGGATAGCAATCGTGTGCCCAACCACTCGACCATATCGTCTCCCCCAAACTGGCCTACCTCCTGTAAGTTTAAACTCGGTTCAAGCTAAATTCTCTGCCCCTAAGCCTGTGGCGACATGTGATCGTTCGCTTCACTGCGCGCGAGGTACGCGTCGCTGGTTTTTTTTGTAATGGCTAGCAGAGGAGAATTATATATATAGATTATATAGCGGTCTAAAATGCTCAATAAAATGTTTCCATTGATCAATTTAGTAATAATAACAATTGAATATTCAATGGTCATCCAAAAGAAAGCTTCCCTGAAAATTTCAGCGCGCTAGCTAACTGGGAAGTGCCAGAAATTTCGATCGCAAGATTGGATTGGAAAGACAAACAAATAAATAAATAAACAAACACACAGAGAAAGCAAGTTAAAGAAAACGTGGGAAAAACCCTAACCCTGATCCTCAAACTATCCCTGACCCTGTAATCGATACCGGTATACAAAAAAACCCCAACTCGATACGATATTGCCTTACAGACGCTTTAACTCGCGCCATTACAGTTAATGATCGAATAATGCAGTAATCAGTGGACCGAATATACTTCAGTTCGATCAACTGTAATTACTGAACCGTGAATTCTTCAACCACTTAACGATAGAAAAAACATTGGAATGAAATTTTTTTTTAAATAAAAAGGCGAAACTACATTCGAATCATTTATAACTGAACGATCGCATTTTTTTATAACATGCATTGGCCAGGAAAACATACCAGCATATATTTTTTTCCATGTACCAAACTTAATAGTTAATTAATCTCTCTGCATTAATAGTTCTATATTTTGTATTGATGTACCAAACTAAGGTTATCAACGGTTTTCATAGGGTTTTTTTTTTTTGTATTCACAAAAATAATCAACACACATTCGGTTTTTATACAGCGGGGGAAGGGGGGGGGGGGGTGGGGTTTAGGGTGATATTTTCTAGCTTAGAATTTTCAATCATAACTAAAGTTTAGCCTCCTCCTCCCCCCCCCCCCCCCCTCCGCCAATAAACAACTAACCCATCCAAAAACAATTAGTTCTCATGTGGAATTCGGCGTTTGTGGAAACATAGTGTTCAAGATCTGTCAAGTTCTGTAGTAAGACGGGATTTCTAAGGGTATTAAATGGGTTGGACTCGAAAGTTTTTAAACGGGTTGGAAACGAAAGATTTCTAAAGGCATCAAGTTGGTTGTACTCTACATAGAACAAACAAATACGACTATAACTAGCGTGCAGTTATTATGAAAAGAGATGTGATCATACAAACTTGATTGCTCCATTTCGTTTCCATTTGATAAAAACTTGAAGTATGATTGGTTAATTATATTTTTGGTAACAAAACCATTCTTGAAAAAAAAACGTCGTTTTTTTCTCGTCGCCATATCAAAATAAAATTTACATGTAAACAAACTAGCCTTAAATATTTATTTTTTCACATAATGTTAAGAGCTTAGATCATACAAGGCTAACGGGAGCCTTCCGCACTATAAAGAGATATATCTAGCAGGGTGTGGGTTCTGAAGAACTTCTAATAATATACTGTATGAACACAATACTATGAAAAACAATTAAGCCAGCCCCCCCCCCCCCCCCCCACTCTCCCCTTTTTATATGACGACAAAGTTCGTTGTAAGCGGAAACAAGTCAGTTTTCGTCTTGTGTATTTCTTTAAGGAAACAATACGACTACAATCATATCTATTACACCTTACGACGTCACGCATCGTCAATCACCCCCCCCCCCCCCACACACACACAGACACCATTGTGAACAAACTGCCCCTCCCTCTCCCCCACCCCACAAGACATAACCTAGCATGTTTTCCTGGTGTAGTTCCGTGTACAAACTGCCCCCTCTCCCCCACCCCACAAGACACAACCTGGCATGTTTTCCTGGTGTAGTTCCGTGTAGACCCCGGCCATTAGGCATTCTCTGCTTGATTGTAATTAACATAATTAACAGTTTCCAGCCTGACACGTCTGTTAATTAGTGCAGTTAATGACTTGTGCATGGTGAAAAAAAAGGTGTGCAGGTGTTTTACGCTGGTAGAGAAGGGGGGGGGGGCTAAAATTAGAGCGCGCGCTAAAGTGGTGTGACGTCATAATCATTTAAATTTAATAGGATAGGTGAGGAGGGAGGGGAGGGAGCGGGGCATTTGTGACTTCACGATTAGAGAGTCCGCACGTGCACATGACGTCATGGATGCACAGGAATTTTGAGGGTTAAACGTTAGAATGGGGCACCCTTGCACTCTCCCCCCTCCCCCCCCCCCCACCCTCCAGACTGTCCAAACTTTACGGATATGATCAGCTAAGCCTAAGCCAGGTAGACCACAGCTCGCGGAGCTAAATGTTTCTCACCTCCGCGTTAATCTCCTTCTAAGCTGCATGCGTAGCTAGGGTCACACTGACCCGCGCGCATGGATTGACCTTGGATAAATAGTTTGGTTCGCTAAAAACGTCTTTGATACCCAGGATTAGGGGAGTTATTCTAGCCGGGGAGTATATCTGTTATTTTATGTTTTAGAAGGGCTTAAGCCTGTTATTGAGTGTTTTAGAAGGGCTTAAGCCTGTCATTGAATTAGAGGCGTAGCAACCTATTTCGGCGCCCGGGGCGAAAGATCCATTTTGCACCCCCCTCCCATATTTATATATTTATTTACGTTAGCGAAAAAGGACCCCATCCCCCTACGTATATATATATATATATATATATATATATATATATATATATATATATATATATATATATATATATATATTATATAAATTAATAACTGTCTGTACGTTTGTTCATATATTCGCGTCAAACGTGGCCGGTGGTCACTACCCCCGATCCTCCCCCTCCCCCATCCTCAACCCTCCCCCCCCCCCATCCTCCCCCCTCCCCCCATCCTCCCCCCTCCCCCTAGATATTTGCCTCTACATCTCCCTGTTGATATCGGGCCATCACTGTACTGCACGTCATCGTATCGACGTACCGGAAACAATGTGAAGACATCCATGACGTCAGTGCACCGAGGGCTGAAACTTGGACCGGATATGCACGGCTATTTGGACGGATCCCGGACAGCAGAAAACTTCCCGTACAACTTTTTTTGGTGTGTTTTTAATTAAGGAAATGAATAAATTAAGTGTGTGATTTAATAACGTACTGTAGTAGTTTGATTTGTCAAGCTCCATTGTGGTTACACTGGAATAATTATGGATCTAAAAGCTCTAGTTATCAGTGTAAATGTGTAAGCAAAAAAAAAATTAATTGGTTTGAAAATTATTTTTGTAAAAAATATATATCGGGCTATGTATTTTTCACTGTTTGTATTTTTTAATATCAAAGAATTAAATAGTATAGTAAATTTTAAAATTATTTTTGTAAAAAAAAATATTTAGGGGTCCTATGTGTTTTTCACATTTGTATTTTCTATATAGATCTATATCAAAGAAGTAAACTGTAGGCGTAAATTTTAAAACTATTTTCAAGAAAGTTGTATCAGGATGGATTGAAAAGCTAGAGTAAATGTGTAAGCAAAGAAATTTGGTTAGAAGATTATTTTTGTAAAAAAAAATATGTGAGTATTTTTTCACTTTTTGTATTTTTTTTTTTAACATCAAAGGAAAATTAGATCTAATAGTAAATTTTTAAATTTTTTTTTTTAAATGGGAGTGTGTACAAAAAAAATAATTAAAAATTGGCTCTATAAAATCAATAGCACACTTGGGAATGAAGATGTGGGGTGGGGGAGGGGAGGGGGAAATGAGTCAAAATCTAGCGCAAAGGGCGGGGAGGGGGGGCGGGGGAGACAGCGAGAAAATCAAAACATCGGTGGTGATACTCATCGGGGGCAATGGCGCACAGTCTCGTCTGCTCCATCTCTGACGTCATCAGCCCAGCGAGGGAAGCTGAAATAGGTCGGAGATCGCTTGGGTTGTGTTTGGAGGGGGTGGGGGGATAAGAGGGGGGGGGGGGGTCACGAGTTTTATGTACATCAGCTGATGAGAGGAAATGAAATGTAAAACAATGCGGGGTTGGGTGATTGGAGATGTGATTGGAGATGTGATTGGAGATGTGATTGGAGATATGATTGGAGATGATGGGAGATGTGATTGAAGATGTGATTGGAGATGATGGGAGATGTGATTGGTGATGTGATTGGAGAGATTGGAGATGTGATTGGTGATGTGATTGGAGATGATGGAAGATGTGATTGGAGATGTGATTGGTGATGTGATTGGAGATGATGGGAGATATGATTGGTGATGTGATTGGAGATGTGATTGGAGATGTGATTGGAGATGTGATTGGAGATGTGATTGGAGATGTGATTGGAGATGTGATTGGAGATGTGATTGGAGATGTGATTGGAGATGATGGGAGATGTGATTGGAGATGATGGGAGATGTGATTGAAGATGTGATTGGTGATGTGATTGGAGATGTGATTGGAGATGATGGGAGATATGATTGGTGATGTGATTGGAGATGTGATTGGAGATGTGATTGGAGATGATGGGAGATGTGATTGGAGATGATGGGAGATGTGATTGAAGATGTGATTGGTGATGTGATTGGAGATGTGATTGGAGATGATGGGAGATATGATTGGTGATGTGATTGGAGATGTGATTGGAGATGTGATTGGAGATGTGATTGGAGATATGATTGGAGATGTGATTGGAGATGTGATTGGAGATGTGATTGGAGATGTGATTGGAGATGTGATTGGAGATGTGATTGGAGATGTGATTGGAGATGTGATTGGAGATGTGATTGGAGATGTGATTGGAGATGTGATTGGAGATGTGATTGGAGATGTGATTGGAGATGTGATTGGAGATATGATTGGAGATGATGGGAGATGTGATTGGAGATGATGGGAGATGTGATTGAAGATGTGATTGGTGATGTGATTGGAGATGATGGGAGATATGATTGGAGATGTGATTGGAGATGTGATTGGAGATGTGATTGGAGATGTGATTGGAGATGTGATTGGAGATGTGATTGGAGAGATTGGAGATGTGATTGGTGATGTGATTGGAGATGTGATTGGAGATGTGATTGGTGATGTGATTGGAGATGATGGGAGATGTGATTGGAGATGTGATTGGAGGTGTGATTGGAGATGTGATTGGAGATGTGATTGGTGATGTGATGAGAGATGTGATTGGTTCGTCACTGGCGGTCAAGTGCAGGGCGGGTAAATAAATCAAAGACTGTGATAAGTCGTCTGGGTAGCTGGGGGGGGGGGGGGGGAGAAGGCTGGGTAAAGTGATGGGGGGAGTAGGTGTGTGTAAGGGGGGGGGGGGGGGTGATGGGATAACTGGTAAGGCGAAATGTGAAGTGTAGCTGGTTTGTATGGTGAAGGGTAAGGTGGTGCGGGGCGGGGCGGGGAAGCTGGTGTGTGTGTGTGGGGGGGGGGGTAGCTGTTGTGTGTGGGGGTAGCAGTTGTGTGTGTGTGGGGTGTGTGGGGGGGTAGCTGTTGTGTGTGTGGGGGGGGGTAGCTGTTAGGGGAGGAGGTTGTAGTTGCTTAGCCGATGCGCTTGTGTGTTGTTGGTGGGGGGGGGGGGGGGGGAGAGAAGGAGGGAGTGGGTGATGAATGTTTCCCCGGCCAAGGTGAGCATTGTGGGTACGAGAGCAAATGCTACCTGTAGCTGGTGAATGCTACCTGTAGCTGGTGATTGCTACCTGGTTGTGTCGATTTCTACATGTACTGAGTGAGAGGTGTTTTGTTTTGATGAATGGCTACCTAAATGCTACTGGGGAACGTTTAGTGTTCTTGTCATGTATGTGATGCTGTATGACTGCTACCACGCTGCCCTTGTGATATGTGACGTAATTGCTATAATTTCTACCCTAATGGTGTGTTGATGTAAAACTGCTACAAGCTACACCATGGCTACCCAAATTGTGTGATGATGTAAAACTGCTACAACCTAGACCATGGCTACCCTAATGGTGTGATGATGTAAAACTGCTACAAGCTACACCATGACCACCCAAATTGTGTGATGATGTAAAAACTGGCTACCCAAACGAAACAATGTCTGCACCCTGTATAAGTATAAAATTAGTTACTCTAGTTACTGCAGAGTAAAACAGTTCAATGCTTTCATATTCATATAGTAGGTAGCCTTAGACAACCTACCACTGGACCATCTACCGGCAAGCCTTAAGCTAGGTAGCCTCGGACCATGTAGGCACAGACCAGGTAGCCTATGAAAAACGACTACAAACGCCAACACACATTCATGTATTTTTAAATTAAAATTGTGTAATGTGTATGTCATGGCAGGAGTGTGTGTGAGTGTGGGGAGAGTGTGGGTGGGGGTGAACAAAAGCGTGGCTAGAGGTAATCGATGAGCCAGAGCTAGAAATCACAAAACGATCACGAGAAATCGATACTTTTTTTCCTAGCGATTACTTTCCGGCGAGCTGCGACATTCTGTGGACAATGGGCAGGACGCACGCAGGTATCGATACTGACAGAGATGACTTTGTCCATGGACCAAGTCAGCTGAGAAAGTGAATGCGAACAGAGATGACTGTGTATAGAGAAAATTGGCATTCGACTTTGTCAATGCACAAAGTCAACAAGTATAACGAATATATACATAGATGACTTTGTCAAGTCAGCAGGTCTAGTGAATATTGACAGAGATGACTTTATGAACGGAACAAGTAAACTGATTGAGTGAATTCTCCCTGAGATGACTTTGTCAGTGGGCCAAGTCAACTGCCGAGGGAATATTTAAAGATGACTTTTGATCCAGTCAACTGGTATAGTGAAAACTGGCAAACGTTTGTGTCAAGGGGTCAAGAAGACAGTATACACACACACACACACACACACACACACACAAGATGACCACTGGGGAGTGAACATAGAATTGACAACAGAACAGCCCATCAAATAGACACCATAGAACAGAAGCCCCAAGAACATACACCATCGAACTGAAGCCAACTTGACAGACAGCATAGAACAGAAGCCCATTAGAATAGACACCATAGAACAGAAGCCCACTAGATAGACACCATCGAACAGAAGCCCACTAGATAGACACCATCGAACAGAAGCCCACTAGATAGACACCATCGAACAGAAGCCCACTAGATAGACACCATCGAACTGAAGCCAACTTGACAGACAGCATAGAACAGAAGCCCATTAGAATAGACACCATCGAACAGAAGCCCACTAGATAGACACCATCGAACAGAAGCCCACTAGATAGACACCATCGAACAGAAGCCCACTACACAGACACCATCGAACAGAAGCCCACTACACAGACACCATCGAACACAAGCCCCCTTAGAACAGACACCAAACACCTGATGACGTATGACGTGTGTACACGATAGATTGACAGCTGCCTGACGCCGTACACAGATGTGTACGTTTGTTGTTTACGCGCGGCTTGTGGCCGGGTCAGGAGTCGCACGCGGTCTGTTGTGTAAACAATGCTAATGTCAAGGTCAATAGGTCACTCGGCGGCACGTGTTCCTGCTGACCTTTGGCAGCGGTAATTCCAGTGGCGTAGGCAGGGGGGGGTTAGGGGGGGTCATAACCCCCCCCATAGACCCCTCGGTATATATAAAAAGTATGAGGGGGGGGTGCAAATCGAAAGTTTGAGGGGGGGGGGGGGGTGCAAATCGAAAGTTTGAGGGGGGGGTGCAAATCGAAAGTTTGAGGGGGGGGGGGGGTGCAAATCGAAAGTTTGTCCCCGGGTAAAAATTGGAACCCCCCCCCCTTGAGACGATCCTGGCTACGCCACTGGGTAATTCTGTTATGTTTTCGTCGTTTATTGACGCATGACGCCGCCTGGCAATGTTTTACTGACTCGGGACGTCGTCGCACATTGTATGTGGGACGCATGACGTCATATCACATACTTTTAGTGACGCATGACGCCATGTCACTTTGTTTTAGCAATGCATGACTCCATATCAGATTGTTTGTGTCTGTTCCAAATCAGCCCCGCCCCTAATGCAAAAAGTGCACGGTCGAAAGGTTAAGCCCCGCCCCTAATGCAAAAAGTGCACTGGCGAAAGCTTAAGCCCCGCCCCTAATGCAAAAAGTACACTGGCGAAAGGTTAAGCCCCGCCCCTAATGCAAAAAGTGCACTGGCGGAAGGTTAAGCCCCGCCCCTAATGCAAAAAGTGCACGGTCATAAAGTTAAGCCCCGCCACTTTTGGCCAGCGGATAGTGTATTTATTCTTTTGCCCAGCCGCCTCTACTTCTAACATGATTTGGGTAAATTAAGAAGAGAAGAATCCTCTTTGGACCTCGCGAGCCATGAAGTATAGTTCATGTTTTTTTACTTGGGCATATGAAAGGAATGTGTGGTCAGGACTCTGCTAAGGCGGCTTTTACTTTCCCCAACATGAGTCAGGCACCCATCAGAGCTGAGTGGACTCAGGGACGTTTATACTGACTTGGACCCTGATTCGAACTCGGGACTTTCGAGATAGCAGCGTAGCGCTCTACCGACGTACCATTTAGGTGCTTTAGGTTCTAATCAGAATTGGTTTGACTCGAGTTTAAGATCAAAACTAGAGGTTTTTTTAACAGTCGACCGGTCTACCACCCAGCGACCCCGTCCATTTAATGCTAAAAAATAAACGCTATTTTTGTTTTATAATGTTGAAAAAGTCATGAAACTACAAGTCAACTTCAATACATCTTTGTTCGTGCTATGTTCATTTGATACTTTGTGCGATACCGATATGTTAAGCCGTGTACAATAAAGTAAACACTCAATAATTCAGTATTTTTGTGCAGTCCCTGCTGTTCATGCTAAGCGCATTATAAATTACAAATCACATACCATAGCATTAGTTACACTGAGCTCCTTAAACCTTATCCAAATATTTACCTTAGCGCTGCAGCAATATTTTTGTTCCACTCCTTGTGTGATTTCATTAATATGCAGCTAAAAATATTATCTTAAATTAAGCTGTTCATAAAATAAAGATTGTTTGATTTTTTCCCACACATTAATTTTAAAATACTCATATCGCAATCGAATGTAAGAATAAGTTGTATAACTATGTTGTTTTTATTTTCCTGAGACTTTAAAGCCGACCGTCTCAATTCAACCTTCATTGTGAAGTCAGCCCCTTCCGCGATACGTTAAATATTCCTTAAGAATTTTTTGTAGATATTCCCATGGCGTCCCTAGATTGGGCGACACCCGATACGGTAACCCAGTGTGTTACCCCTTCACCTCCCCCCCCCCGTACCTTGTTTGTACGCTACTGAATGTTCCCTTGAAGCAATGGCGTCGTTAGGTAGGGTGTCACCCGGTGCGGCACCTCATGGTGTCACCCTCCCCACCAAAAGAAAAAGTAGGCCTATAGGATGTATAGATAGACATATATGTGTGTATGTGTGTGTATGTGTGTGTGTGTGCATAGGCCTATGGCCTATATATAGTTGTAATTGGTGTCACGTCACCTCCTACCTTTTTAAATTTTAATTAATCATTCATTGAACTGGCAAAAAGCATGTTTCTTATATATATATATATATATATATATATATATATATATATATATATATATATATATATATATATATATATATATATATATATATTGCAATTTTATTTCTTGGTGTCACCCCCATACACGGTCCGCACCACCGCACCCGCCTCGCGACGCCTCTGCCTTGAAATATTAACAAAGAAACGGGAATATCCGCAACAGCCGTCTAAAAGAATATCTGTTAGCGGATGTGTTCATCAAAACAATACGTCACAGAAGAATAGAAAAATAAATATCAAATACTAGCATGAAATTAAGGTATCCCCCCCCCCCCCCCACCAACCCGCCTCTTTCAATTTCAAACACGCACCTTCCCAGAATACAAAAACACCTTCTTCGTACACCTACAACTACCATTTCATATCCTGTGTCCCACGTCACTAGTACAAAGTCTAGAACAAATTTATTTCATTACGGAGTAAAATATTCCTTTTTTTACTTTCTCGTATATAAGAAGTATAGAGAAAGTATTGTAATCGTGCACAAAAATCACTTGAAATTTTAACAATTTTCACCG